AAAAAAGTATTTATTAGAACTTTCACAATTTAAACAGCATATACTGTATAATTTGAAAATGCTGGGCCTACACTTCAAAAATGAAAAAATTGAACTTCAAAATTACCAATGTGTTTGTGACTCAAGAAAATAATAAAAGAATAATAAAGAAAAAACCGAACTTTGTATTTTTATCACAAAATCTATTTAATAATACAACACTTTCAAACTCTTATTAATTATAGCTTGCAACACTTATAAGCTCCAACTGGGTTTCAAGCAAAGCCCAACATAAAACTTCATGTTTGCAAGTGTCTGGTTTATCAGTCTACAGTTCTCCTTTACAGAATATTAGATTACAATTCAATGCATGATGGTTATTGGCTACTGATATAATATCTGATTAACTTACATGGAGACTGATTTACATAATGACCATAGTTACTATGACAAAGACCTTAGGACCATCCAGTGTCAGTCTCTTTGACTCTGAGAATTAATGTTATAAGTAATTCTAACAGTGTGTGAATTGTCTGTTCATAGCTACTATTATACATATAGTCTTCTAAAATAGTAAGTAGAATTTCTTAAGGGTTAAGTGTGTTTGACTTTTGCTCGCACACTAATGCGTTATGTTTCTTTTATTCTTTTAGATTCACTGAAAATACTCTGACCCCTGAAAGCAGTTTTTCCTTTGAAAGAAGTGCTTCCTGCATTTCCTTGGCTCAAGACTTCCATGAAGAAATGCTGGCATGGTATGAAGACCAGGATAATGTCAAGAATGCTACTCTTGTGTGAAGGTATCCATCCAAGTTTTAGGTAATAGAGAATTGAAGTGTGGATATGCAAGTTAATGAGTGAGTTAGAAAGTAAGCATACCTGGGTACAGTTGTGGTGCGAGTTACACAAGGATAAAAAATTGGAGAGTGAGTACATAAAAGTATAGTTGGAGTGTGAATGTACAGTGATAGAAACTTGTATTGTGATGCGTACACCGAGATAGAAAGTTGATGTGTGAGTGCACAGTGATAGAAAGTTGATGTGTGAGTGCACAGTGATAGAAAGTTGATGTGTGAGTGCACAGTGATAGAAAGTTGATGTGTGAGTGCACAGTGATAGAAAGTTGATGTGTGAGTGCACAGTGATAGAAAGTTGGCACATGAGTGCACAGTGATAGAAAGTTGGCACATGAGTGCACAGTGATAGAAAGTTGGCACGCGAGTGCACAGTGATAGAAAGTTGGCACGCGAGTGCACAGCGATAGAAGGTTGGCACGCGAGTATTTTATAGTATTATTTGTGCTTTATTCTTAACTTGTTAAACTAATAAAGCCATATAATTATTAAGGATTGGAAAATGAGATATAACATGATATTATGTTGTCTTTTAAAAAAGTCAAATCTTCTTTTTGTTTCTATACAAAATGTTTCATACAAGAGTAGAATTTAACTCTTTTTTTTTCACTTGCTTCTTTTTTGAAAGTTCAACAAATATCAACTGTCAAGTTAAATACTAACTCATAATTTTCCAGTGATATATTTTAGTGGCAAAGAAATATTCATTTTAAAGAGTAATATTTACTCTTATTATAAAGGAGATTACTCTAATTCACATTACTAATGATTATCAGTCGTTAACACACCACAGTACATCAAAGTTCAGAACATAACTAGCTTGTAGTCTTTACTCAAGCATATCTAATGAGCCATAGCATTGGGCTGGTCTAATTAAGATGATTAGGTTGATCTAGACACCCTGAATTTATGCAGATGGTGGTTCTCAGAACAGAACCACACTTTAAGTTACTAAATTCCAAGTCCATATGGTACACTTGTTGATCTTTTTATCATTTGGTCTGACAACTATTATTTGTTTGGATCAAGCTTATCCATCTGTAGTCTTTGATACTCTTCTAAAAAGTGGTAATATATATAATATCTTTATTTTGTACCAATTATTTCTATGCTTCTGCTACTATTTTCAAAGTTGAAGTATTATTATATTTTGTTGCAAAAATTATTATTTTAGTGTTAATTACTCAATGTTCATAAAGTTTACATTACATTCACTTTATCTAATAGTTTGAATTTTCTGAGTTAGTCCACAAACTGATGCACCTGAAGACAGTTGTTGAAATCATAACTGAAAGCTACAGCTAAAAAAACAAAATAAAATAATGCAGAAGAAAAACTTGTTAGAGGGGATCTGATTCATGTGATTAAGATTGTAAAGGGAATTGATAGTGTTGATGCATCAACTTTTTCATACTTAACAGTGAGAATAGTGGGACTGAGGGACACAAATATAAATTTTTGCTGGGTAGGAGTCATCTTCAGCTAAGACACTTTATTTTTCTAACAAGGTGGTTGGCCTTTGGAATGGGTTGCCTTGGGATGTTGTGGAGGCAGTAAATTTAAGTGTGCTTAAGAAAAAATTTGATAAGTATATGAATGATAAGGGCTGGCTTTAAGATTTTTTTTTAATTAACTTATTAATAGTTTTAGTTTAGTTTAGAGGATGGGACAGCCGAGATGAACCAATAAGTCCCATATTATCCCAAAACATTATGTTATATTATATAGATGATATGACTGTGCTTCTAATGGACAGCATAACTATTTGAATGACATAATACATCTTTCTGAAATACGTTCCTCACTTATGTGATAGTAGAGAATATTAATATTTTGGTCCCAATTGCATATAATTTAATGTGGTAAGGTTGTCTTATTTTTGTGAGCATTTCAAAAATTTTCAGCATTTGGAGAAATCTTTACTGACAGATTGAAACATCGCATTTTGAAAGTATTGGTGTTCTAAATTTGACCCAATAAATAGTAGCATTATTTTACATTACAATTAAATTATGTGTTCTGATCAATTTAAAAGAAATATTAGTGGCAATTAGATAGTAACATCTGTTATATTACAATAAAGAAAAACTGTTTCTTATAACCAAAAGAATAGCATTTGAAACCATTTAGTAGTGGCATTAAGTAACATAAGAAATGTTTCCTGTTTAATTTAGAAAAAAATGAGCATCTGTTTCAAAATACTATTATGTTATATTAAATTTAAAATGTTTTTCTGTTTCACTGAAAAATTAACAGTAGAGGCAGTGAAATTATCACTAAAACCATGTGATTTCAGTTCCAGAAAGAGAATCGTAGAAATGGCTATGAAGAGACCTAACCTAGAGCTTTCATGATGTCTGCAACATAGTTAATAAAGACTCGCTCATAGAAAGGAGTTTATTTTGCAGAATGTTTTTGAATCTCACTTTTTCTTTTCAATTAGCAAACAGTTGTAAAATAATGGTAAATTTTTTTATTAGTTCTTGAATTTTACCCTTATGCATTCTCTAGTAAAAGATATTTGTAGATGTTTGGGAATAATACAAGATACTTGCTCAGTTTTTGTTCGTAAAAGTAAACAATCATTTAAATTTATGGTCAGTGTACTTCTGATGGACATAGTGTGATTATAACTATATATTCATATATATACATATATATCTGTAGTTTGCGTGTTTGGCAAACATTTTTAGGGAGCGTGGGATTTAATTATTTACTAATTCCTGTAAATCTTGACATATCAATGCCAGTATCTGGAGCTAGAGTATTTATTTATCACTTTCTGTAAAGTTGTTTTGTACAGCCTTGCATGTATTGTTTTTATGTGTATATAGATATGTATACATGCCATCAAAGCTCACATAAAATACAGATTTATTATTGCTCGTGTTTTCATGTAGTGCTATTTCTTGAAAGATGAAAATTCTTATTTCTACAAGTTGCAGTGTCTATCCACAGTTTTATGATGTAAATTATTACATTTTGTTTTATGTCAATCCTGCTGTAAAATGTGCAAGAATTTTGAGTGCTGGATAAGACAACCTGTATTTTTGGAGAGGAAGGTTGGGACTGCTAATGAGATTAAATTTGGGGACATTAAGCATACCGCTCATTTTAAGAAAATAAAACAGATTATCTTTGTGTGCATTAAGCTTCTCACTCCTTTCACAGTCCTATATACCAAAAACTCCTCTTAACAATGTTCTAACACTTTTATTAAGAATATATTTTATGTGAATTATGAAAAGAAGTTGTACTAGTCTACAGTCACAAATAGTTCAGGTTGAATAACCATAAAAAGAATAGCTTTAATACACGTGACAAGGTAAAAAACTACACCTGACTAATAAGTACCTGTAAAAACAAATGTAAAGTTAATGCAGTAATCTATTTTTATTTCCTTACTACCAAGTGATGTAATTATGTATTTGTTCTTATTTCATTTCATTAAAATATAGTGTTCACAGACACTATGAAACATCTAGGAGTGAAGTTTAATTCTCTAGAATATTCTATTAAGCTTTCCTTCCAAAATATGAAAACAAAATTATTATATTAAATAAAGAGGCCAGCATTTGCAGGCAAATGTAACATGTCTCTGCCATGTAATCCCAACATGGCCAATTTTGACACCTGAAAAATCGAAAACTGTCTATATCACTGCTTAGGACCTACAAGAAGGTATCATTATACCAAATCCCATGTAAGTTGTTGGACATACACATGGATAGTTAATGAAAACCCCAAAATCTGCTTTCTTCACTGAAAAATTGAGCAAAAGAAGTATTTTTGTACCAACTCTCATTTAAATTGGTAAAATATATAAGGCCAACTAATAGATTTTAAAAAAATTATGCTTTTTTGTGAGCTCTGACCCTCTTAAAAAGACTCAAAATGGGCAAATCTAACTTTTTTGTATGTCAGTATGTTGGCTGCAAGAAAACTTATATTTGTGCCAATTTTCATTTTGATTGCTATAAATGTGATCACACAGAAGCCCAAAATATAGATTTTGGGGATATTTGACCTTTGTCCCCATAAAATCCTTAAAAAGGTCTAAATAAAAAAAATTAAAAACGATTTTGGGCGTATTTGACCAAGGTATAACCCTACGAAGTTTCAAGTTAATTTACCAAGAAATGGAGGAATGGCATTTGACTGAAACGTGTTTGGATGAAGAAGAAAAAATAGAAAAACAGCATGTCTTTCTGCAGAGTCATAATAATCAAATTTAAAAAAAAAGTCTGTCTAATTTCCAACTTCTTAAATTGCCAGTAAAAGTTTAGTAGCACTTTGCTACAAGTTGTCATACCATCACAGAGCCTCATTCATCATTGTTTGACATTCAGGCACAAGACATTCAGGGTTGTTTCAGCCATGAGAGCGTTATAATGTGATGGTCAATCCAACTATTCTTTGGTAAAAGAGTAGCCCTGTAGCGTAGTTTCCATTGCAAAAGGCTCCGTCGTAAAACTGTCATGTTCAAAGCACACCACCTGCCCCTGTTAGTTTTCTATAATATATTTAGTGTTTGAGGATAACTTTTTCTCAGTGAACAAAAATTCATAGCTGCTGTGATTAGTATATATTTCTCTAGTTACTTGAGGTATGCAATGGTATACGGGAAATCCTTCTTCATTAAATTGCGTAAAGTTACCTGTTACAAGATGTCATACTCTGCTTCCTATGGGTCGGGTATGATTTATTGTAGGTCTCTTTTTATGGATGGCTCCAAGTCCCCAAATTGATCCATATTTCGTTGTTTTCCAATGCTATTAAATACAAGGGACATCACAGTCTTTGAAGTTCCAGATTTCCGATCTGAACATATTTTT